AAAAGTGACAAGCAGGGGGAGTTGTTTTCGGTATACGAAAAGAGGAAGCAGGCGGGCGAGGAGTCGTACAGTGTTGTGTCTGTGCGCTTGACGGAGCAGCTGGAGCAGGTAAAGTCTGTGGTGGGGAGGTGGACGGCGTTGGACGAGGCTTTACAGCGATGCACTGGCAATGGCAACCCGCAGGGGACGTTGGGCGCGAGTTACGTTCCCCTCCTCACTGAGGGGCTGCTTGGCTTTTTGGCCGGCACGCTGGACCGGACCGCGTGGAAGGACGAGTACCGCGGCGTGAATGCAACTGTTCACGGGGCAGCGTCGAGCGCGGCGGGGGGTGTGACGTTCAGCGGCGCCGGGGCGGAGTGGCCCGTGGGGAAACTGGGGCAGAACCAGCCGTACTACTTTGCGAACAACAAGTTCGCTCTCGCGGCGACGGTGACCATCCACGCGGTGCCGGAGAAGGAAGACACTCCTCTGCTGGGCGTGAGGATGGATGGCGCAGCCAACACTGTGCTCTTTGGCCTGTCGTACACGAGCAAGAGGAAGTGGAAAACCAAACTTCATAATGCCGATGCCGAGGAGCATGCTGAGGCGTGGGAGGCAAACACGGCAGTTCAACTGGCGCTGCAAATGGATTGGGACGATTGGTCTTTGTACGTTGGTGGGCAGAAGATTTACAGAAAGAAGTGCAGTGGCGCTCTGTTCAACTCACACCGGATAACGCACTTCTTTTTCGGCATGGATGGCACGCACTCGGCTGTGGGCAGCCCCAACGTGACGGTGGCGAACGTCCTGCTGTACATCCGCGTGCTGGGCGCGGGTGAGCTGCAGCGACTGCAACTCGGCAGCTGCACGATTCCGCCGCCGGGTGCCGAGTGGGCGGTCGCGGCGCGGGGGGCTGAGTCCGCGGCAAGCGGCGGTGGTGCGGCCGCGTGGGGTGCGCAGCATTCCGCAGCCGCAACTGTGCGTCGGCGACGCGTGTGCCCGTTGGCCGCCCGCCGGCGGTGTGCGCGGGGTCCTCCACCCATCGTTTCTTCTGATGGAAAAGCGCCGCGTGTCCGGCGGTGGCGCGCAGGTCGCACAGGGCCAAGGGAGGGAGCAGGGACGTAAACAGCAGTGGACACTTACCACCAGCGTCGAAGATGTACAGTTGGGGAGCGAGCCCGGCATTGAGAGAATGACGCTAAACGACTTCATCAGGAAGTACGTTGATCCCGATTTTGTGCTTGAAGGTCGCAATGTAATGATGGGGGTGTTTGCGCGTAGGCCTGCGCGGTACGTCGCAGACCCTGAGCTTCGCGGGGACATTCTAAGCTTACCAGAGTATCAGTTCCTGGAGGACGCACGCAGGCTAATGGAACATAGAGTGGGCACTCTCCAACGCTGGAAGGATTTTGAACAGAAGGAGATCGTCTCCAATGTTTCATGGGCAAAACTCGACGCAGCCCTTGCTGCGGCGGAGGCAAACGAAAAGGCAAGTGATAAAGTGGAAGAAAAGAAAGGGCGGGAGGAACAAAGGGCAAAAAGGATAGATGAAATTGCTAGCCAACCGTTACCGGAGGGATTCTACCACTCGGTGTACAACGCGAAATGCAGTCACGTATTGGGATTTCCCGAGGGCGAAGGGGATGCGATGGTGGTGCGAATGGAGGTGCGTGAGGGCCAACCACCGGCCCAGCTGTGGGATTACACGCGGGATGGCATTACTCTTTTGCCGGTGGAAGATGCGGGGCAATTTATTTCACCGCGCCCAAGGCTGGTGATTCTCTCGTCCGAGCACAAATGACCTTACTCACTGAGGCAGGGAGAGGACATTGCTGATGGCTACGTCAACCGTGAGGTGGATCGTGTGTGGAGGATCGTCCAGGGCGATCTAGAGGGAGACTTCGGCACCGATGATCTGGACGCGTTTGATTTGAGGCGGCGTCTCTTGATTGGAACACCGGGTATCGGGAAATCTATGAACGCTGGCTCATACCTCCCTTACAGGTTGCTCCACTACGACTTTAAGAGGCTCCAAGTGGTTGTCTACTGCTTTGGTGGAGATGTGGCCTTCGTGTTTGACAAATAAAAGAAAACGGTGACATCACACGGGGGTGGGCTCAATATCACCGGCCTTATGAAATATTTGGTGTGGCAGCGTAAACTGAAAGGGTATGTTATCTACGACGTGGATAAAAAGGGTTATGAACCGTCGTGGGATTACCCGCCCTCTGACACGTGGGGCGTCATTGTGTTGTCCTCACCGAACGAAGATAACTTCAAAGGATGGGCGAAGCAAAAGAAGGCCGAAATGATCGTTATGGATTGTCCTGACGAGCTTGATGTGAAGGCGATGTGTGCCTGGAGGACGCGTGATAAGTCTGCAGCGGAGCAAACAAACTACTGGAAGATGGTCAACAAACGCATGACTGAGGTGGACCGATCCACGTTACATTTTTGATGCCAATGAGA